CTGCCTCTGCCTCTGCCTCTGCCTCTGCCTCTGCCTCTGCCTCTGCCCCTGCCTCCCGAGTGCTGGGACTAAAGGCCTGAACTACCACCTCCTGGCCTATTTTAAGCAATTATGAAGTGCTCACCGAGATTTTTTAACATGAGCTAGGTTAAAAAAAAAAAGCTTTCCTTTTTTTATGGTGCTCATGTCAGTATTTCTGGGAATTGTCTCTTACATTTCACCAGTTATTTGTAAAAGTTCACAATTTTATTAACTACTATATAAATCAAACATTGTAGTTTTGGAAATTTATGTTCTTAAGCTGATCATATTTTTCTATCTCACATTAACAGAAACTGGTTTGAACCATTTATCCTCACCTTGATGAGGATTATTCTAAATATGTTGTGTTGTTAAGTGATATAACATGTATGTGGCATTCCCCTCATATCTGAAATTAATGATACTAGTCCAGCATGAAGTGATAACATGAAGTGACCAACAGCAAACGAGATTTGTTTCTGTCCCCACTTTTCCTTGCCAGAAGTCATGGATGTATTGAGGACTGAACTTGTAGCAACAGTGGAGCCGACTGTGCTAGGCTGGGATACAGGCTGTGTTGTATTAGCTAGCTCCTTGATCGGATCAGATGGCTAGCTAATCAGACAGCTACCTCCCAATGGTCAGCAGCTTGGCTGGTGTTTAGTGTGATTTAGAGGAATAACTAATAACTAATAACAAGAAAGAATGTTCTTTCTCTCCAGCATTGACCTTATGTGTTGGATAGATATCGAACAGTTCCGAAGAATCCTTTTTAAAGACCAAAGCCAAAGAGAAAAAAAGTCTATATACATTAAAAACACATATCTTAATAAAAAATATTTCTTTGGACCCAGAAGTCCAGCTTCTTTGTATCAACAGAACCAGGTAGGAGCATGTTGCCACACTTTTATGTTTGAAGTATAAAAAGCAATCCTTTTTGCCAATAGCATGACAGTCTCTCTCTTTCTCTTTCTCTTTTGCCTTTTTGGGAGGGACACTTTTGTTTAGGTAGTTACAACTATAGACTAAAGTTCATTAAAGTAATACATATTCTAAAATATATTATTTTAAGAGTTACTTTATTGGATAAGATGCCCTTTGTTTAGAGTTGTATCAAAGGCCATGTTCATAAATCTGAGGGTACAGTCACAGCTTTGCACTGATTTGAGCTGTTATTCACTCATTGAGTGACTATGTGTGCCTTCATTATGTCACAAACTGCTGGAGGTGCTCAAGACCAAGTGGGAAGCCACATGGACAAGGATGTGCATCTTCGACAGCTGAAAGACAGCCATCAACCACTGAGCCTATCTCTGCCTGTTTTCTTCTCTTCACTTGCTAACTTCAAAAGGCATTTGATCTTTGAAAACCCTGTTATCATATTGCCCTAAAAAGGGTTGGTCAGTCTTCCTTCCTTCCTTCCTTCCTTCCTTTCTTCCTTTCTTTTTCTTTTTCTTTTTTTTTTTTTTATGAGACAATGTCTCTTTACATAGGCCTGACTATCCTAGAACTCCAGGCTGACCTCAGACTCATAGAGATTCACTTGCCTCTGCCTCTCAAGTACTAGAATTGAGGACATGCACCACCATGCCCAGCCTAGAAACTTTTCATAGACTATGAACATAGGCTTAACCATTTCGCTGTACCATGGTAATGGCCCTGATTACAGATTCTGATAACAATAAAGCCATCAGTTACAGAAACAATGGACATGTGACTCAGCAGGGCTTGGGTGTTTTGTCACATCTTAATTTATGAAGTAAGCCTCAGTACTTGTGCTTTTGAAACTTGGAGTTAAAAATAATTTATTTAGTGTGAGGATTTTTTTAACTATATAAAGAACAAATGAATTGTGTATGCTTTTTTATTTTTAGGAGCTTACAAGGATGCATATTTTTAATGGTTTATACTTAGAAAATGGAAATTTCAGTAAAGAATTCAGTAAAGAAAAAAAAATCCTAGTACAGCCAACCAGACGAACAAACTGTTTCTTTGGTCGGGGTGAAATGAGCAGAAAGCAGGGAGAGAACAAAGGCCAAGTGGTTTGAGGAGAAAGCAAATTTCCCTTCTGTCAGTTCCCAGAGGTACAGATCTGGGGTGTGTTAGAGCCGTGGCTAGGTGTCTCAGTAAGCACACGTGCAGGATGGACACACGGGAAGCATGTGTCTTCTGTTTGGCATGTGCTCCATCCGTGAGATTTCAGGGCATCTGTCCTACTGTGTGAGCACACTGTGCAGCATGCTGGGAACTTGGTGGAGAGTGGGAACGTCGCCACTGCTGACGCCAGGTCTTGGTGCGCCAGGCTTTCACCTCTGCCATTGTACCCATCTCTGCACCTGCTTCACTGGGGGATTTTGCATCACGTATTATACAGCCCATTCTGTCCCGGACTGAGTTGGAAGCCACTTTGCTCTTGCGTCATCACATCAGTCTTTGTGTTCTCAGAAAAAACAATCTTATTTTCACTACTTAATATTGTTAAGGAAGATTAAGAAGATGATATTTCTGCTTTGTTTTTAAACAAAATATTAGTATTTTCATAATTTGATTCATTAAAGGTGAACTAAATAAAGAAGGCTTATTCCAATGGGCAGAATCTTGACAGTACACAGAAACAGGTGGAAACTGCAGTGATTTGCCACCAGAACAGCCATGAATGGGACACTGAGATACTGTGGGGAGGTGTGAGCCACAGACCAGTGCTGCTGCACAGATCTGATGAGTGGCTGTGTTCCTCAACGAGTGTCCAGCCCTGTGTCCACCTCTGTGTCCCGCTGAGTCAGAGAAGCACCTGCAGGGCATCACCCCACCAGTGCCCAACAACCAGCACCCAGGTTGGCTGCTGATGTGCACATCTCCGGTGTCTGCGTCTCTCTTAACTAACCAACGCTCATTTTTCTCACCTACAAAACCAAACATGCTTCCTCAAATGGGTCAGTTTGACTAGAATCACATATTAATATTAGGTCTAGGACAGAACTTGGAAAAGAAGCATTCACTGCCCTGTGTCATAGTTACTGAGATTGTGGAGGGAAAACTGTTAGTGCCCCTGGTCACACAGCATGCTGTCCCACTCCAGGGAAGAGCTCAGAGGCCAGAGTACTTACCTAATGTAGCTGAGGCCCTGACACAGAAAAAAATAAAACCTCACTCCTGTGTTTTTTCTAGGATTCCATAGGAAGCAAAACCATGCATTAATCACCACTACATACTTATTATAATATATGATACAGCCAAAAGATGTTCTATGGAAAATGGAAATAGTGGCACTTGTCCAGTGTGCTGCAAAAGGCTCAACATGAATGAGTGAATTAATGGCTTTTATTGGATAAAAGAAAGCATATGGTTTCTGTTTTGTTTTATTCTCTTAGATAATGCTTATGAGTGGTGGCTGGGGCAGAATCCTTCACGAGCAGCTCGACGCATCTGTGCTGGTCGAAATCCAGAAGCACGTCTTAAATAGGCTGGAAAATGTGTGGCTGCCATTGTTCCTCTCCAGTGAACAGTTCGCATCACGTCAGAAGATAAAGGTACATAAACAGTATAATCTTGGGATATCAATTGGCTGGACCTAGCCAGACCTGAAATGTGAGTACCCATTGAGCCCTCACAGTCCTTCAGTGAGTGATGGCGAAAAGCTTGGAGTTTAGGCTTCCTACATTCTAATCTTAACATTTGCTACACATTCATGGCCCCTTTCTGAATTTCATTAGTTTAGTTTTCTCATTTGAAAAATAAGATTGTCATCAGCAACTGCACTAGGCCATGGTACCATACACCTGTAACCCCAGGGCTCTGGAGGCAGAAGCAGGGGGATCACTAAGTTACAGGCCCAGATAAAACAAAACGATGTCCTTTCTTAGTAACAACAGTGTGTGCTTGGCTTCTTAGCATGACACCCAGCAAAGAGAAGAGACTTCAATGTTGTCTATTAATGTAATTGGGGTTTTGTGTTGTTGTTTATTTGGGAGATTTTGGTTTTTATTTTTGAGACTGTGTTTCTCTGCATAGGTCGGGTGGCAGGTCTGGGACTAGCGCTCTGTGTAGACCAGGCTGGCCAGTAGACCAGGCTGGCCACAAACTCCCAGTGTTGTAGTATCACGCCTGGCTGGCAGTTGGTATTCTTAACATTATTACATTTTCACACAGATAACCAAGAATATACAAAAACATTCGCTGTGGTGTCACATGGGAGAAAACCCAAACAAGTTGACAATCACGCTTTCCATCTTCAGATTTCCAAATAAATATTATAAAATGGGTTTTAATATAGAAATGAGTCATCCACATGTACTGACACAAAAGATGTTATTTCCAAAAAACCTGAGAAGGTGCAGGACAGTATATAGGAAATGATCCTGTTATGTCTTCTTCTGCCTCTGTATCTTCATACACATATCTATGAACAGCCATCTGCTATATTTTTGGATGATTGTGCTTATGGGAAAAAAAGGTGCTAGAAAGATCTTCCTCCTGAAAAATACATTTGGAAAGTGAGAACTTGTACTTTTTGTTTTATAAAGCATGTTTGTCATTTGTTTTGCTTTGCTTTTATTTCTATGAAGCAAAATATTACTTTGGTCATTTAAAACATCATTATACCTAAAAAGAGGTTAGCCTGTCTGCAATTTTTGATTTTTAAACACACATGTCATTAATACTGATTAGAAAAAAAAACATGAAAAGCATGCCTCTATATTATTTTTAATTTGTTAAACTTTTGGGGGCCTACTTATCTGGAGGGATCCTTAGTCTTTTGAGCTGAGCGAATTAGGAAAAATGTATAATTAGAGCAGAGAATTTCTCGCATCAGAAAGAGCTGACTCACCTAGCAAGACGTTTTGGGAGAACTCAACGTCTCTTAGTGTTTGACGTCAGGAAAGCCCCAGTTCCTTCTCCAGACCCAGGTGAAGTGACGTTGGCTTACAGATAGTGTTTACTGCATCTTTTCATTATCTTTACCACAGCTGCCAACAGAGCAAACTGATCCTAGCAGTCTTCAGCTAAAGATGCAGAGCAATGGAAGTTGTTAATAAGGATGTTGGGGGGAGTAGGAAAGGCCTTCACATCCAAGCTTTAAGAAAGATGTAGTCAGGGATAGCTCTGGGAATCTTGCAAGAAAGATCAGAGACCCCTTTCCTCTCACCCACGGCTGTCACAAAGACTGGGAGCACGGCATCGAGCATGTTGGTACAGAGCTTGCCTGGCATGCGTGGAGCCTGGGTTCAAGCTGTAGCGTTGTTCTGTTTTGCAGATCTGGCCTTTTTAGATCAGCTGCTGGGAATATCTGTTCTGGATAATGAAGGAAAGACACAGCATAGATTTGGCGGGAGTAGTTCCCCAGGAAACGGAGATATTAAACATAATCAGAAAGCTCCCATATACAGTTGTCCCCAGTATCCAGCAGGGTCCATAGAATGCTAAAAGACCTGAAGAAGCTGAAGTCCCTTCCCTCTATAAAACAGGGCTATATTTTCATATGATTACATGCATTTCTCCATATCCTTTATATCATCTTCATATTACTTATAAAATCATAACATAAATGCTAAATAATTCTGGGAAATGGGTATAAGGAGGAAATATGTGTATATGCCCAATGCAAATGACATTTTTTTATTTGAATGTTTTGCATCTGAGGCTAGTTGAATCCATAGATGAAAAAACAGATGTGGAAGGCAGGTCTACCTTCTGCATGCCTGCGAATTATGTCTCTCCTCTAAAAATCACTTAGGGAAGATATAAACTGGCAAAAAAAAACCTACCATGGAGACCTGGGAGGCCATCATTAAGTCCAGTTTCAGTTCTCACACAAGCTGAAGTGACCCTGTCATCTGCATTTGGAGCGGTGCAGTTAGTGATGGCGCACAGGATGAAACTCTCCCAGAACATTGGCTGCAGGGTTTCATTTCTCAATCCGCGTCTCCTTTCCTGGTGACACTTTCCTATTGAGCTGACCTTTGCCTCATTTCTTAAGCTGTTAAAATACTAAACAGTTCAAACTTTGGCAAGTCTGAAAATGTTGATAAAATAATTGGTTCTACTTTTAGATACGGATGAAAGATATAGCGGATGAGCTTTTACAGCAGAGGCATGACAGGAAAATCGGAATTTGGAAGGCAAGTAATTGTATTCTTCCCCTTATAAATTCTACTCTGTCAAAGTATTACACACACTCTCACACACACATATGGACTCACACTCACTTCACATACACTCACACACACTCGTACATACCTATCTCACATACACACACACACACACACACACAATCACAGACACTTATGCACACTCATACACTCTCATACACACACTTATACACACATATACATACACTCTCATATATCCATACACTTACACTCATAACATACTATCAAATACACACTCATACAACACACTCACATATACATACACACAGAGAGACAGTCACACACATACTCCCACGTACTCTCTTGTACTGTCTCCCTCTCTCTGCACACATACACACACACACACACACACACACACACACACACAAACACATACATCCACACCTCCACTATGTTCCTGACCCTCACTGTCTAAACCTCTCACTGATGACAGTTATGTTTCTGCTGGCAGAGAGAATGGGGGTTGCACAGGGCCCTGTTCTGCAGAGCTCCTGACCTCTCATCTTTGAGGAGCATGTGGCTTTAAACATGTACTTTGCACTTGAGGCCCTAGATTAGTCCCCAGCACTGGACACCGGACACACACACACACACACACACACACACACACACACACACCCCACGTCTATTTAAGTGTGTGTGTCCTGGATTTGCCAGACAAGCTGTTCTTACATTGTGTGGTAGTCTATTATCAGGAGACTGGATTACAGAGAATGAATGAGTCATGTGATGCACAGCTGGTAAGCTAAGTCATCCTTTATACCCACTGTACCTCACGTTACAGCTTAGCTTGAAAGCAACTGCGGCAACTGTATTTTGGAGACTATTAGGATCACTGTATTTGATGCTTTGGTAGTGATATCTTATTTACTTCTTAGCAAGTATGATGAGCATAGTCCCATTAGCGAGTCTATGAGCTCCCAAGGGTTTATCCTCTAGAAGTCATGAAAACTGAGACCCAGGCCATCCGTTCAAATTAGTGAGCAAAGATAAAGGTTTATCCTCATGTTGGAGGAATGCATGTAGCAGTCAGGAAGCCCTCTTCCCCATCTGCCTCTTGAAAGGAGGCAATCTTTTGAAAGGTTTGCTTCTGCTATATTTTTATAGAAACACTAAGTATAGTGAGCTTATATTTTATATTATTGTGATTTATATGTTGCATTATTTTCTATTTATTTAAATTATAGGTTTTAGTTAAATGACTAAGTTTTAGTGTCTTAAGACCCAGGTCTTAAGACAGCCTTTTTTGAGTGGGTTTTAAATAAACAAGCCACTTTAATCCATAGTTGTTCCTATTTCTAGGGCTGTAATCTTAATATGGACCAGATGTCCAGAGTCTTAAGTTTTTGTCCAGAGAACATGCCATGTGCCTAACTACAGTGATAGCATCTATGCACTGTGTCTGGGTTAATGGCACCATGACTCACCCAGACTGCCTGGAGTTGCTGTCACCTCCCAGTCCCAGCTCCAGGCCCTTCTCTGTCAAGGCTGCCCTCCGGGCGGAACTCATTACTCTTTCCTCGGTGTTCCTTGTGCATTTCTTGCAAAGCTCTCAAACACTTGTATTGATGGTCACATGTGTGATTTGTTTCAAGGAACTTATTTAATGCCTTGTCAGTAATGGCATTTGATCATTAATAGAATTTGTATACCCGTCTAAAATGTTGCCTTTGGAGTGCTGCTTCCCGTATAGCTAACAGTGACACTGGGAACCCCAATAGAGGTGAAATTTATTTTCAATATATAAATTTGGTAAATTTAATAAAATCTATTTATGTTTTTGTATCTGAGAGAGTAAAAGAAGTTGAATATGTGACTTGAAATGGGTAAAATATTTTTTGAAGTTTATTTCAAAATTGTTACAATATAAAATAGACGTAGATAAAATACTTTAAGCATTATTATAACATCATGGGTGCTTCAAGATTTTACAATATGTAAAATAAAATCTTCAGTCAGAAGAATTTCATTACTAAGAAAAAAAATTCTAACACTCAAGGGCACACCTCTGTGAAGGTAAGGCCAGCCTGGTCTTCATGGTGAGTTCTAGGCTAGCAAGGGCTACATAGTAAGGTTCTGTGTCAAAACAACGAAAGAATTATTAGTAGCCCAGAAGTGAAGTTCAGTGGTAGAGTGCTTGCTTTGCATGCACAAGGCCTAATTTAACATGTTTATAAGTAATAATGTTAATATTATTAATTTATCATTATTAATTAAAGGTCATAGTTTACTAAAATGGTTCAAAAGTATTCCATATAAAAACATGAGTAGAATTAAGGCAAATTTTCAACTTATAGACTTATTTGACTTTCAGAAAAAGAATAAAAGAAATAATTTAAAATTATGCAATTATGATAAATCATAATGTAATTACATCTAATCATAGCACTGTGATTACTCTGTTCTATTTGTTCACTGGTCCTGAAATATAAAAATTTTTAACTATGTGTAAATCATTCAGTAATTTTTCTTCCTTGTCTCTAAAAATCATGGAACCATTAAAAAAAAGAAGAAGAAGACAAAAGGCAAAGAATCAGGGGAAAAGCTGTCAAATTCTGTTATATCCATACCACAAATTTCAGTAGCCAAAGCAAAAGAAATAGAAGCTGGTGGTTTTAGTCTAATTAAGGATGTGATCGCTGCTTTTGGAACTTGCCTGATTTCCTGTGTTGTTTTCACAGCCTGTGGCGAGTAAGTGGATCTCTTCATCCTGTGAGATTATTGCTTTTCGTAAAGCATTATTGAATCCAGTCATAGCAAGGCAATTTCAACGATTTGTGGCCCTGAAAGGAGATTTATTGGAAAATGGAGTACTTTTTTGGCAAGAAGTACAAAAGTTTAAGGTACTGTATTTGGAACTGGAGAAACCCCCTTCTGTTTGAAGAGGTGGAGCATTAAGAGAGGAGATGTGTATCTGGCACTTACGGATGTGTGTAATATATCCCGATATTGCCAATTTCCTTTATGGTAATATTTAAACATTGTTATTGTCCATTGTCTAGAGACACTTCTTGCTATATAATGGAGAGTACTAGGGAGGCCCCCAAATGACGGTGTTTGTGTTTTTGAGATAAGAGCATGCAGCATGGTGCAGTGAGTACACTTCTGTAGAGTGTCTTAGCTACGCCTCTCCGTCTCATGCTTCTGTAAATGCACCACACGCTTTTTCCCTGTACACATTCCTGATTGGTTTATCCATATAACCAAGACCTTTCTACAAGAATTCTTCCTAATCAAGTGTACAATGATAACCAAAGATACTGGATTACAGGAGGACTGACAGGGACAAGGGCGCTATTCTGATAGAAACAGTGGCCACATTCTGAGCCAAAGAAGTAAAAGGATGAGGAGCAAGGAGTTAACATAAGCAGTGGCAGCTTGTTTTCAAGCTTACATCTTGATGGAATCATATAGAGTCTTTACTTTTAATAAGAGGAGACTTTGTTTTGCTGTCTAGATATGCATGAGAGGTATCTAGCCCCCTCACAAATACTTCCAGGGGTATGGGCTTATTTTCTAACAGGCAGCTTATTCTAGCTCATTGCAAAAGTGTGGGGAAAGAATAAACTTTAATTAAGAGAATAATAATTTCTGTTGGATCATAAGTTAAGTGTGTCTTGAGCAACACTAATGGGTTGTTCAATGTGTAGTTGCTCAGTAAAAACCAAGTTTTCTCCAACATACCATGAACTTAATTTTGTTGCTTTCCTTGGTCTCCATTTTAATATCTCTCCTGCAATATAGCTTCAAACTTTTAGTGATGCTCCTCCTTTGGCCTTGTGGTGGTTTGAATAAGAATGGCCCCAGAGGCTCATATATGTGAGTGCTTACTCATTAAGGAGTGGCACTCCTGAGAAAGGCTAGGTGTGGCCTTGCTGGGGTGAGGGTGGCGCTTTCAAAAACCTCAAGCCAGAGTCAGTCTCTATCTCTGTCTCTGCCTCTGTTTATGTCTCTCTCTCTGCCTGAGGATCAGGATATACTTTCAACTACTGCTTCAATACCTGCCTGCATGCTTCCCACCATGATGATAGTGGCCTAAACCTCTGAAACTGCAAGCCAGCCCCTAACTGAATGTTGGCTTGCTTATAGTGTCTCTTCATAGCAGTAGAACAGTGGTGAAGACAGAAGTGTGTACCAGGAGTAGGACATTGCTGTTACAGGCTTGACCATGCTGCTTGTTGACCAAATACAGACTTTGAAACTTTGGATTATGAAAGTAGATAATACTATAAGCAGGGATTAATAGCCATACTAGTAGAACCACAGAAAACAGTGGTGCTGAGAGCAGTTTAGATTGTGATGGCCCAGCTCAAGAGCTTCCAGAGGAGAAGACTATTAGGAAGTGGCCTTAAGACCATTCTTATGCTATTTTAACCAAGAATGTAACTGCTTTCTGCTCTTGTCCAAAAAAATCTGGCTGAGGCTAAATTGAAGAGTTTTGGTATTGGCAAAGGAGACTTCAAGACAGCTTGGTATTAACTGTGTCACGTGGTTATTAGTGGCCATTCTTAAGAAGATCTATAATGAAAACAAGTGTCAGGAAGTGTAACAGAGGCATGGCTTGTGAATTCCAGAGGGAAGAGAGTCATTTAAAGACCCTTCTCCGTGTTGCTTGCTATTTTGAGTTGAGAGTCTGTGAACTGAGGCTGAAGAGTCAGCTGTGAATAACAGGAGACCATCACCACTGAAGAAAAAACTTTAGCTTTGCCTAGGACAATTAATGCTGACCAACAGAAGAAATTCGGGGTGACTATGAAGAGATCAGCATCACTGAGGTAAAATCTTCTGAGAATGTGTCCTCCGAGTCAGCACACAGAAGTCATGTTCTCATATTGGCTGCTGAACTTGGTAGTATAAGAGTCACCTGTGTGGTACTGATTTGGAAGGCATGAAGGGGTCATGGAAAACAGCTGAGGCAGAGCACTGTGTGACAGGGCTGAAGTCCCTGAAGAGAGCCCCAGAGGGGCCACTGGTGAAAGTATAGCCCAGTTGTAGCGGAAGACCCCAGCATTTTGGAGCTGCCACTACCACGGGATGACCACCAAGGACAGTGGAGGCGCTGGAGTCCAGGAGACAAGCTGTGTTCTACAGAAGGTGGACCTGGAGAAGCGGCTCAGCCCTTTGTAAGACCCAGAAGACTGTGAGTGAATTCCAATAATTGGATGTCAAGATTTTTTACACATTTGGAGTTTGGTTGTGCTTTTTTCAGATTATGACTGTGCCCTGGTTCTTCCCTCTTGAAGTAAGAAAGTATTTATTTTTTATTTGACAGGAGGCCACAGTTGAGAGACTTTGAATTAAAAAAAAAAAAAAAAAAAAAAAAAACTTTGGAATTTAAAAGAGACTGTCTATTTTCAAGAAACCGAATTTTTAGGTATTTGAATTTTTAAATACTGTGGGACCTTTAAAATTTAGAATGTTATATTGTGTTCTTATTAATGTTAGGTCTTGGGAATGAATATGAAAGGAAAGTTGTAACAGTGGTGTGTTTGTGTGTCAAGTTGACACGTTATGCCAGATGTCAACTTGACAAGCTAGAGTCACTGAGGAGGAGGGAGCCTCAGTTGAGAAGATGCCTTAATGAGATCAGGCTATAGCAAGCCCTTAGGGCATTTTCTTAAATAGTGATTGATAGGGAAAGACTAGCCCATTCTGGGTTGTTCCATCTGGGCTGGTGGTGCTGGGTTCTATAAAAAAAGCAGGCTGAACAAGCCTGTAAGCAGCACCCCTCCATGGCCTCTACATCAGCTCTTGTTTTTAGATTCCTACACTGTCTGAGTTCCTGTCCTGATTTCCTTTAGTAATGAGCATCAATATGGAAACATAAGCCAAATAAACTCTTTTCTCTCCAACTTGCTTTCTGGCCATGGTGTTTTATCACAACAATAGAAATCCTAACTAAGACGAGGCCCTTGAGTGCTAGGATTATAGGTATGTGCTACCACACCTGGCCGGCTGTGAAGTTAATAATCGTGCTCTGACTTTATATCACCAGGACCAAAATACATGCAAGAACAACTTAAATCAAGAAGGTACTTATTTTGGCTCATGGTTTTAGACATTCAGTCCATCAACTCCTGATGGTGTGTGGAAGAACGCTAGACACTATGGCAAACAGGAAGCAGAGAAAGGGAAAACATAGGAAGGAAAATATAGGACAGAATAACCCCAGTGTCAGATCTCAGTGACCTGTTTCCTCTAGGAAACCCGTTGACACCACCTCCAAAGTATGATGCTTTATACTTCGGATCCAGAAAGCAGCTGTCCTCATGATCTAAGCGTCTTTGAGACAACTGCCATAGATACAACAGAGCTCTATCGTAGCAGTCCTTGAGGTGTTTCTTAATCCAATCAAACTGACAAGATTAATTATCACAGGGACTAAATTTTCTCATCCAAAAATCATAACCATCAAGTGTGCCAGGCATTATGCTCAATTGTAGGGGTGAAAGAGTGAGTATTATGTACTTCTCTTCCTCAGGGCAGTGGCACCTATGGAAATAAATAATAAGAGGGGGTGTCAGTATGACCATGTTCTGATGAGGTGTGGCTGAGATGGAGAGGTCAGGAAGACCTCCTCCTCATCAGAATATGATCTACAGAGATTAGGAAGGTCTCAGCAGGATGTTGGCTCTTCAAGGAGTGTGGCAGCTGCACAGCATTCTAACAAATAGCTTACTTTGAAAACTTGTTTGGAGGCTCTAGCAGGGGAATGCAACTAAAGCCTTGATGGAAGAATGGTCATTCTCCACAACTGACCATACAGCTTTGGGAGAGGCACATGGAGTGATTATGGAGGAGCCAGATGCCCACCTAGCCAGCCAGGTCTGCCAAATCATCCTTGCCAACCAATGGGTTGCCAACTAATATCACAGTCAGATTGGTTTATACCATAGCTGACTTTTATTGTTTTCCATCTGCTAGGGATCATTTTAATTTTTTTCTTGTGATCATGGATATATTATTCACAAGAATTCAATGATATCAAGGGTGTTGTGGTTAGCATTTTACAGCTGAAGATACCAAAACACAGAAAAGCTAAGAAGCTCATGGAGGGACAGAGCTTGGATTTCAACCAAGCCATTGTATTGCTGAAGCCTATGTCAGACACAAAGCTGTGCTACTGAAAATAGGCAGAGAGAGCTAAGGAAATCTTGGTCAAACGTTGTTCTAGATTATGAAAAATCAGAAAGAACCAAGTCTACAACAGGATATCAGATACAGACATTGATTCATCTCCACAGTTAATAAAAATCACTTAGGAGAATGATTAATGATGTTTATCTATTAATTTCTTTAAAGCTAGTTACTAGGCAACAATATAGCTTCATATAAAATGTGTGTTCATGTGAGTATCTGTAGAGAAAGAAATGACAGACTGTCTTTTAATCTCTCAAGTTATTGAGTCCACCCACTGACGTCAGGGCTATGCTGAATGCCAAGGATACAACAATGAGAGTGTTCCCTCTCAGACCTACTGTATCTAAAGAGAGACACATGAGCAGGTGAACAAGCACATTCAAGAAAATGAGTAGAGTTACAGTGGAGGAGTTCAGGATATTAGAGATGTTAGGGAAGGGGTAAGTGTAAAAAAGGAACTTTTATTCTCCGGAGGTAATTGTCTTTGAGGCTTCCTGCCTCATTCTGCTAACCCAGGCCTAGTCCTGGAAGCTTCTTGCCTCTATACAGTCTAATCGAGGCCTAGAATGCTTTCAGCCTCTGAGACTTACTGCTGAATAAACTCACTACTGCATGGTACTGGCATAGAAACAGAATGGTGGATCAATGGAATCGAACAGAAGACCCAGAAATAAACCCACACACTTACGGACACCTGATTTTTGACAAAGATGCCAAAACCATACAATGGAAAAAAGATAGCATCTTTAACAAATGGTGCTGGTCCAACTGGATGTCTACATGTAGAAAAATGAAAATAGATCCATACTTATCACCCTGCACAAAACTGAAGTCCAAGTGGATCAAAGACCTCAACATAAAACCAGACACATTAAATCAGCTAGAAAAAAAAGTGGGGAATACCCTAGAACTCATTGGCACAGGAGAAAACTTCCTGAACAGAACACCAACAGCACAGGCTCTAAGAGCAACAATCAATAAATGGGACCTCATGAAATTGAAAAGCTTCTGTAAAGCAAAGGACACCGTCATCAAAACAAAGCGACTGCCTACAGATTGGGAAAGAATCATCACCAACCCTCTATCTGACAGAGGACTCATATCCAATATATATAAAGAACTAAACAAGCTGAAAAGCAACAAACCAAGTAATCCACTTAAAAAATGGGGAACAGAGCTAAAGAGAGAATTCTCTGCAGAGGAATATCGAATGGCAGAGAAGCACTTACAGAAATGCTCAACCTCATTAGCCATTAGGGAAATGCAAATCAAAACAACCCTGAGATTTCACCTTACACCCATCAGAATGGCCAAGATGAAAATCTCAAGGGACAACACATGCTGGAGAGGTTGTGGAGAAAGGGGAACCCTTCTCCACTGCTGGTGGGAATGTAAACTGGTACAACCACTCTGGAAATCAATCTGGCGCTTTCTCAGACAACTAGGAATAGCGCTTCCTCAAGATCTTTCTTATTCTTTCTGAGCTCTGGGCTAGCTGGTTCAACTTAGCTGTGCTGGCTCAAACTCCTCCCCCAGATGACTTATTCAATCTGGCTTTTCTCTCTGCCCCTGATTTGCTCTGCTTGACCTCAAACTAATTCCAGTAACCAGCTCTAATCTCCTGGCTCCTTCTTATTCTCTTTCTCATTTAGTCTTCACCTGAGTCTAGCTTGATCTCACTCTGCAACCTGTCTATTACTGTCCCAGTAAAGCTGCCTCTTCTCTCATTTTCTGTGTTGCTCCCTTAAGTCGCTTCCCTCTCCTCTCTGTTCTCTTGAGAGTTGGGCATGTGACTAAATTAAATATTACTTTCAAACATAAGTGCTTCCTTCTACAAACTAACTTCACCTTCATTGTTTGGGATTAAAGACTTGTATCACCAGGTCTGGACCTAAGCTTCTCTTTACCTGAAACTTGCTCTGCATCAGGCTGGCGGGAACTCAGATCTTGCCTCTGTCTCCTGGATTAAAGGCATGTTTGTATTCCAGCCAGATCACACAGACCTAGAAGGTCTTTGGATATGATATCTTGCCAGAGAAGCCATGTTCTGAATTAACATTCTGTTTCCTGGCTGAAGGAGTCACACAAAAAGCTTACCTCAGCAATAGGTAAGAGTTAACTGGGCAGGAGCCTTTAATCCCAGCACTCGGGAGGCAGAGGCAAGTGGATGGATCTCTGTGAGTTTGAGGCCAGCCTGGTCTACATGGTGAGTTCTAGGTCAAATTGGGAAAATATTTCAGTTATAATTCTAACTTCTATCCCATCACTCAGAATTAATATTTTCTAACATGGCAAATTTGTTTTTACTTCACAAATTTATATTCTATAGTTAAAGATCAAGTTCACCAAATAATCATATAATAATCCTGCTAGTAATGGTGAACAATGAATATTTGGTAACATACCAAACTTATGCAGTACAAAAAGCTTTTTCTGAGTTGATAATAAATTGACTAGACATGCTGTTTATAATGTAATATTAATATTAAGCTTTTTATATATAATATATGGTAAACCCTACATAAAATTTTACATGACTGGTGCCAAAAAAAAAAAAAAAAAACAACCCAAAAACTTCTTTCTTTGATATGCTAAGGCATCTGTTACCGTGACTGATGTTCACTGAGTACTTAGTAAATGTTAGCTTATTTCTGGCCTCGAATTACAAGTTTCCAAATTTGTTTCCTTTCAGCTGATTTACAAAGCAAAATTTTTGACAAAAAAAAAAAAAAAAAAAAAAAGCTGTAATTCAAGCCAAGCTACCTGTTTAAAAAAAAATATGGCTCTCAACTATGGCTTTAAAACTACAACATTTTTAAATGTACTATCAATACTTTAAAAATGCTCTTGAAGGAATAATGTGCTGATGTTATGTCTGAGATACGACATGACACCTTCCCCTCTCCCTCTGCGCGTGAGCTCGTGTGGTGAATGCTTGGTCACCAGCAGGAGGCACTGTTTTGAGAAGGGGCCTTGATGGGTTGGGTACTCCAGCGTGATCTTGAAGGACATATGCCTCAACCCTGGCCCCTTTCTCATTCAGCCAAGGGCTGTGGCCTTGAACTTCTGGAGCCATACAGCTAATGGAGGACCCTCACCCTGACCCCAGCAAGCTTCTTTTTCTTGTGTTTACCCACTGTGCTGTAAGAGCAGCTCATGCAGATGGTGTGGCCAAAGCTGTATGAACACTAAGTAATTGTAAGGGCATTCTTGTTTGCCAACAGCAGGCAGACTTGTACTGGTCCTCTTGTGACAGCAGTCAGGATAGAAAGCTTTTATATCTACCTTTAACCTGTTAGATGTATATTTCTGGTGTACTGCTAGGACTCTGTCACAACATTTGAGTAATAAGCTTTCACGTGTCTTTTCCATGGAGACTAATGTGGCTCAGTGCCTGGCTTGGAATAGGCATATAATATAGCTATTAATGGGTTACACTAGGTGCTAGCACTGTCCCTGCCTAGGGAGAGAAGTGACAGAATTAAATAAAAGTAAGGCAGAGTGTTAGGCTCCTGAGTCTAAAAGAAAGGGTTTTTAGATACTTCTGGCAAGTTTCTGGGCCTTCACAAGCCAAAGCTAAGATGTGTATCCTGTAAAGCACTCTGATAAAATGCCAATCACACTCTTTGTTCAGGATCTGTGCCACTCACATTGTGAAGACTCTGTCATTCAGAAGAAGATCACAACCATCATCAACTGCTTCCTTAACTCCTGTATCCCACCAGCTCTACAGATAGATGTTCCAGCTGAGCAAGCTCAGAAGATTATTGAACACAGGAAGGAGCTGGGGCCGTATGTGTTCCGAGAGGCACAGGTAAGAGGCGGCAGTGGCTGAGCATGTGTTGAGGCACACTAGCAGTAAAGGCACCCTTTAAAGCTTTTTTGTCGTTCATGTGTAGGAAGATCTTAATATCCCTGGTACTGCAATTTGCTTTCTTCAGTGTAGATATTTTTTTGCCACTAAAAATATACAAAACTCTTATCTTACATACTGTTTTCCTGGTTATGCCATAAATAAAATTAAATAATATACTTTGACTTTTCACAGTTACCATTTTTAATCTACAAATTATAAAAACACTCCAGGTAATTCCTCCTTCCTTTCCCACTCTTCACATCCCCTTTTAAAATATCTGCTACCACAGAAATGTGTAAAATACATGTATCTTAAAATTTGTATATTTCTAAATATTGAAATATTCACATAGCTAATAAAATAAGTGAGAGATTTGAAAACTGTGCCTCTATTAACCTGCTCAGGTTACTTTTTTTTAAAGATAACTAATAGAAAACATTGACTTGGTGAGCATTATTTACTTGCATTTTGAAAACCCTTTTTGGTGATGTTCTTCCTAAAAAGCGATTAAGAAAAATAAGTTATATGAGGGGTAACGAGGAAGGCCATGTCACAAGCTAAGTGACACGAACCAGATTTGGAGTGTGATTGTGACAGCTCTGCAGCATGGGAAGCAGCCATTATCCTTTGGCAGCCATTTGGCAGCCAGCTGTGTTCAAGTCCTCTAAGGTACTGCAGTGGACTCACAATCCCAACTATGCATTAAAACGGGCAGAGAAGGAATCAAAGATGTGCAAGAGGAAACAGAAAACATGAAAGCAGAACTGTAGCATCTGCTCACAAAAAGATCTTAGCAACTGTGTCTTACCTTAACAGTCCTGACAAGGCAGAGCAGGGCATGCCCTGTGTTTCCAAGATCAAACTTGCTTGCTTGCTTGCTTGCTTGCTTCCTTCCTTCCTTCCTTCCTTCCTTCCTTCTTCCTTCCTTCCTTCATTCCTTCCTTCCTTTCTTTTTCTTTCTTTCCCTTCCTTCCTTCCTTCCTTCCTTCCTTCCTTCCTTTCTTTCTTTCTTTCTTTCTTTCTTTTTCTTTCTTTCTTGTTTTTTCTATTTATTTATTTTGTATCCCAGATGTAGACCCCTCCCTCATCTCCTCCCATTCCTACCCTCCCTCCCATGCCCCTTCCCTAGTCCACTGATAGGGGAGGTCCTTCTCCCCTTCCATCTGACCCAAGCCTATCAGGTCTCATCAGGACAGGCTGCATTGTCTTCCTCTGTGGCCTGGCAAGGTTTCTTCCCACTCAGGGAGAGGTGATCAAAGAGCCTACCACTGAGTTCCTATTCCCCTTATTAGGGAACCCAAATGGAAACTAAGCAAGCCTTTGGGCTTCCTCTGAGCAGGGGTCTAGGTTCTCTCCATGCATGGTCCTTGGTTGTAGTATTGGTCTCTGCAGGCCCCCCTGCGCCCAGGTATGTTGGCTCTGTTCTTCTCCTTGTGGAGTTCCTGTCCCCTCCAGATCTTTCTATCTCTCTCTTCTTCCATAAAGATTCTGACACTATGCCCAAAGTTTGGCTATGAGTCTCAGTATCTCTTTTGATACTGTGGAGGGTAGAGTCTTTCAGAGGCCCCCTGTGGAAGGCTCTTGTTCTAGTCTTTGTCTTCTCCTACTTCTGATATCTATCCTGTTTGCCCTTCTGAGTGAGGTTTCAGCCTCTTTTCTAGGGTCCTCCTTGCTGTTTAGCTTCTTTAGGAATATAGATTTTAGTATGTTTATCCTATATTATATGGCTAATATCTACTTATAAGTGAGTATATACCACATGTGTCTTTCTGCTTCTGGATTACCTCACTAAGGATCATCATTTCTAGTTCCCACCATCTGCCTGCAAATTTCATGATTTCCTTGTTTTTAATTGCTGAGTGGTGTTCCATTGTGTAAATGTATCACAATTTCTGTATCCATTCCTCCATTGAGGAACATCTGGATTGTTTCCAGATCCTGGCTATTATGCATAAAGCTGCTATGAACATAGTTGAGTAGATGTCCTTGTATGGTTTAGCATCTTTCAGATATATGCCTAGGAGTGGTATAGCTGGATCTTTTTTAAAATTTAATTTATTTATTTATTTATTTATTACAATTTATTCACTTTGTATCCCTGCTGCAGCCCCCTCCCTTGTCTCCTCCCAGTCCCACCTACTCTCCCTCTTCTCCCCCTATACCCTTTCCCTAGTCCCCTGATAGGAGAGGTCCTCCTCCCCTTCTATTTAACCCTAGCCTACAAGGTTTCATCAGGATGGCTGCATCATCTTCCTCTGTGGCCTGACAAGGGAGGGGTAGGTGATCAAAGAGCCAGACTGGGTTTATGTCAGAGACAGCCCCTGTACCCCTTACTAGGGAATCCCCTTGGAAACTCAGCAGCCAGTGGGCTTTCTTTAAACAGGGTTCTAGGTCCTCTCTGTGCATGGTCTTTGGTTGGAGTATTGGTCTCCACAGGCCCCACTTGGCCCAGGTTTTTTTGATTCTGTTGTTCTCCTTGTGGAGTTCCTGTTCCAGGTCTTTCTGTCTCCCTCTTCTTCCATAAGTACTCTGGCACTTTGCCCAAAGTTTGGTTATGAGTCTCAGTATCTCCTTTGATACCCTGGTGGGTAGAGCCTTTCAGAGGTCCTCTGTGGATGGCTCCTGTCCTGTTCCTTTTCTTCTCCTACTTCTGATGTCTATACTGTTTGGCCTTCTGAATGAGGATTAAGCATCTTCCCTAGGATCCTCCTTGTTGTTTAGCTTATTTAGGAATATAGAGTTTAGTATGTTTATCCTATATTATATGGCTAATATCCACTTATAAGTGAGTATATGTCATATTTGTCTTTCTGTTTCTGGGTTACCTCTCTCAAGATGAGCTTTTAATTGGATTACTTGGTTTGTTGGTGTTTAACTTCTTCAGTTCTCAAGATGGCATCTGGTTGTGCCATTCTGTGCTTAAAATGCTTCATTGTCTCAAATAGAGAACAGAATAGAGCATTCCATAGAGCAGCATCAGCTTGCTACACACCTGTGGCTACGTCTCTCCATACTTGTTCTCTGCCCCACCCCCAGTGCTGGTCACTGAATTAGCTATAGCTCCATAAACGGCCTTTTCTATCTTAGTCCAGAGCTCTGTGCAGCACCATCTTTTCTCCTGTGTTTGTCCCTGTCATAGGACTTCTAACACTAAGTTTAAGTGGCTGTCCTCGTGTCTGACCCCCTAGATTGTAAAGTGTGTGAGGGCAGAGTGTGTTTCTCATCTTTGTGGTCTAAATGCAGAGTAGGTATTTATTTCTGACCATATGGATGTGTGAGATTTGTCATGGTGGAAGAATGTAAAATCAGCTCCAAAATGAGAGCAAAGTGGGACCAAAGGGCTGAGTGATAATTGCAAGGCATCAGTATAGCCTCTGCACTTCCTCATACTCACGACCAATAGCCTGAAGCTTTCCCACTCAGCCAGGCTTCGCTGACCCCTTTATTAATACAGAAATATTATTCATCTGCTGGTCCAGATGAGCAAGGTACTCCTATGTCCATTAGTACATTTTCTTAGAATTTGGTTATTTTTTTTAAGGTTCTGCATGTCCAGGAAAATGTATATTAACAACCAATATTCACCTCAAATCTCAATTGCATCTTGGGGGATTATGATATTTTTATGCCTTCTGTTGAAAACCTGGGTCCTGATAGGGTAATATTTACAGGAAAGGCCATATATGATATACACATATTTGAGCTGAGAACGTCTTGGCTTTTACAGAGATAACTGAGAAGGACGATTAGTAGATGCCATCTAAAAGAAGCCAAGCAATCAGGCTGAAGAGACTCATGACATACATCATACTTACACACACACACACACACACACACACACACACACACACACACACACATACTTTAAGAGTTTCGTATAATGTGCTTTTATCATATTCACAGCCTCTCTCAACTCTTTTCAGATCTAACCTGCTTGCCTACCCATCCAACTTTGTCTTTTTTTTTTAACCCTTTAAAACCAAATTTGTGCTGCTCAAATAAATTTGGATGTGTGGCTACTGAAGTATGGTCAACCTATCAGGAACTACCTTCTCAGAGAACACTGACTGTCTTTCTCCCAGCAGCTAACCGCTGCCAGTGGCTCCACCTCCAGGGACAGGGTAGTGTGCCCAACTCCCATCTCCATGCAGGAGTTTGGAATGGCTTGGGCTTACACAGGTGTGGTACGTTCTGTCAGCCGCTGTGAGTCCATGGGTGCCGCTGACCTGCTCTGTCCAGAAGACACTGTTTCCTTGCAATCCGTAACTGCCTCTGGCTCTTGTGTTCTTTCTGACCCATCTTCTGCTATGATGCCTGAGTCTTTGCAGGAGGGAATGTGGTATATATGGTCCATTTAGGGTTGCGCATTCTACAGTTTCTTATTCTCTGAACCTTGGGCAGTTGTGTGTCTCTACTGCAAACAGAAGCCCCTCTGATGAGGGTTGGGAAATGCCTTAATCCATGGGTGTAGTGATGCCACTTGGAATCAGTCCACTAAGGCATCCATGGACATGGCTCTCCAAATTTTATGTTCATGCTCCTAAGAAGCTACAGAATTCAGTAACAAAATTATATTTTAAAAGGAATGAATAATTTTAGCAAGTAATTATATTCATGCCTAGAAAAGATGAGCAGTGACTTGTGCTAATTCAGGACTCAAACACTGAATTTGTTTAAAAAAAAAAAAATTCTTCTTTTTACCTAAAAGTTGGCCGGAAGCCTAATGGGATGGCTCATTTTTCTTCAAGGCATTTGGTAAAGGCCACTCTTAGCCATAAGATATTGGGTTTGACCTGATGTGGCTTGTCCTGCCTCCTTGGAAGTATGCCTGTGCAGCTAATGTGAAACTCTGGCATGGGAATCATAGTGGCCGCTCTGATCTCCATAAACATGACAATTAATCACTTAATGTGCAGCATCCTCATGAAAAGCATTGGTCTAGGATGCCACTTTACTTTTAAAATGCTACTTTTTCTTGCTCTCACATAAAAGAGATTGTATCATTTAGAAGTTACTCAAGATCTATTCTTAGATCTGCAGCTTTAAGAGCTCTTCCAAAGGCAAAATCCTATTTCCTTTCTCTGAAAGACAGAGAAGGGTGTGGGGGAGTTTCCCTTGATAAACTAAATGCTTGGAATACTTGCCTAGAACTGCAGTGTGTAGCTGACTAGCTGGGGCAGTTTAAAAAGAAAACGTCAATTTCTTATTTTAAAAAACCTAGTGGAGGGGCTGGAGAGATGGCTCAGTGGTTAAGAGCACTGTCTGCTTTTCCAAAGGACCTGGGTTCAATTCCCAGCACTCACATGGCAGCTTACAATTAATTGTCTGTAACCCCAATTCCAAGGGATCTGACATCTTCACACTAAAGCACATAAAATAAAATAAAATTAAATAAATTTTAAAAAAAACTAATGGAGTCTTTATTAATGCAACCAGCTGGTTAGAGAAACATAAAGAATAAAGTCACTTTTAAGTGTACTGTGTGAGTGTTTCATAGGACTTCTCATTGGTGGTAAAAACACTGATGATAAGCATGTGCTGAGTTTACTGTACTAAGAAATCTGCAGACAGGAAGGTATGGGAGACACAGTTATATTAAGGATAGAGAAGTTAATCCATTATTGTGGCATAGTACAGTTAAGTTAGTACATTTGTAGAAAATGGTAATCTGAGACATATTTTTTTTTATACAGATAACAATTTTTGGGGTTCTGTTTAAGTTTTGGCCACAATTTTGTGAGTTTAGGAAGAATTTAACTGATGAAAAAATTATGAGTGTTTTAGAGAGAAGACAAGAATATAAGCAGAAACGGAAAATGTCAGAGTCAGAGGAAGAGAAGATTGGAAAGGTAAGAATCCATTCTCCATGTAATCACACGTATAAAAGATAATGTGGTATGATTTATAGAAGAAGGTGGGCTATGGAAATATGCAGAGGAGTTACAGAAGTTACTGAAAAGCCATCATTCACAGCTCTCAGACTAGTCCTGAATTTCCCAAAACGGATGTCTGATGTGTTCTGTTCTTCTTTGATACCTCTAGGCAACACCAGCACCTTCCATCCACTGGAATGATGATGCTCCTCTGTGTGTGTGTGTGTGTGTGTGTGTGTGTGTGTGTGTGTGTGTGTGT